CATTTCAAAATTTACCCAAAGAGTTTAACACTTAATAAAACTAATACTAATCACGATACTATTGAATACCTACACCTACTCATAATTAAACACAGCAAAATTAAATTATATGTTAAAAGGAGGAATTTCCAATTTAATACTATTAAACTAATTAAATGGAATAACATCTCTAGACAAGTAGTAGGTAAAACTTTTTATAGCCAAATAATCAGAATAAAAAATGTATGTAGTGAAATAGAAGATTTAAAGGAAGAAATAATAAAGCTAACTAATGTTCAAGTTAATAACCAAGTCCCAACACAATTTATTAATTTCTATATTAAAAAGGCAGGCATTAACTTTTCTTTATATTTTTTTGACTCTTTATGGTATGATAACATTATCTTAAATCTTAACTGGAGGGTAATGGAGGTTTTTAAAGAGATAAGGGATTATCTTGTATATATTTATTCTAAATATTTGTAAAAATGTATATAATCACTACTGGATTCTTTCCTTTTACTAATGAAGGGCCAACTCTTTTCAAAAGTCTCAATTATAGCCCGAATTGAGTGAAGATTTTTTTCTAATTTTCCTTACTTTTTGGCCAGTATTTAGTAAGTTTTGATTAAACCGTTGAAATTCAGTTTTAATAAATTAAGATTATTACAATAAATGTCTTACTTTAATTAAAAACATTAAAAATATTTTCAAAATAAAAATTAATTCTACTTCAAAAAAACTTTTTTCGTACTTTATTTCAAACACATTTTCGATATTTTACAGTCCTTAATATTTTACAATCCTTAATAATTTGCAACCATTTTTCCACATTACGTTACAGTTAGAATTTTTACAATTTTTTACACATTTTTAGAATACTTCACAGTTAGCAAAACATTTTTGCAACAGAACACACATTTTACATTAAGTTTACAGAATAGGTTTTTAAAATAGATCTAACAGATAGCAGCTTAACACTCAACTTAACCTTATATTAGCGCCCTCTATTTATAAAGTTAGAACAAACAGACTACTTTACATCACTTAGTTTGGCATGCTGCTCCACTCTTCAAATACAGATATACTTGGTAAGTTAAATTAAGACTTACTATTTACTTTTTAGTATTATTTATGTATTTTTTATAAATACTATCTAATTTCGTTTTGATTTATATGCATAATTCATGTCGGGGAAGTTTTTTGTAGGCAAGAGTTCCTAAATTACTTTGGTTTTCTAAAAAATTTGATTTTCTACTTTATTGACTTTTATTTTAATTCTAGTCTTTACTTGCTAATTTCTCAAAAATTCCACTTGTTTAAATTTCTTTTTAGTAATTCACAACATTGGGTTTTACTTTTGGTTTTGATTTTTCCATTTATCCTTGCCTACATAGATGACGAAACACGAATTGAATAATTGAAGAGTTAGGTTTGTAGGCAACTTTCCCTTGGTAAGTCTGTCTCCTGCCTGCTCAACAATTATCCACTTATGCATTTTTATAAATTTTTAGGATTAAAAAATTTACTGGAATTATATATTCATAGATTTCGATACTTGCACTTGATTTACATATGCTCTCATAATTTAAATGATATGTTCACATCAATAATTAATCTTTTATTTGTAATTCAATTTCATTTGAAATTCAAAAATTTGCTTTTTACGAATAGAGAATATTTGTTAAATTCAAATAGCTATAGCATATATTATTCAAATGCAGTTCCTTTCGAACAGCAAGCGAAAGACAGTTGATACTTCACAGAAGCTAATATTTCCGTCGCCATTTTTTACTGCTGTCTTCAGAGCGTCATAATTGTGAAACACTGATGTGACGAGGGATATGATATATCTGACTTCGTCCCATCTGAATATGTAAATAAACGTCAGCTGAGGAATCTTCATTGCTAGAAATTCACGCTAAATGAGCAGTAATATTTCAGCTGAGAAGACAGCAAATGTATCCAAAATGTAATACCATCTTCTGTTGCCATTCATAAGAAAGAAGTATCACTTTTTTCTTTTGAGAAAAATATCGGTTTATTGCTTTATCTTTCTCATGCACCAAAGGATATATACTTATTGGAATACTGGTTTATTATTAGCTAAAAGTTTGTAAACAAGTTTACATAGCGTAAAAGTTGCAGTGTTTTTACTTAATTGTTTAAATTAAATAAAAACACTGCAACTGTTACGCTATGTAACACCAAAGTAAAGAAAGTACTGCTGTAGAGACATTAGGTTATTTTGCAAGCAGGAGTATTGAAAAATGAGCAACGTCTTCGCCGGAAATCGAACCACGGACCTCTAGAATACGCCCCCAGCGTGCTGACTACTACACTACGAAGGCATGCTAAGAAGGCGGAAGAAATACCTTATATACTCCCCCTTTTAAAGGGCGACTGGGCTATTTAAGGGCCCAATCTCCAAATCCTGGGTGTGGAGAATCATAATCCATCACCCTTTTAGCGTACAGACATCAGAATTTTTTTTTTAAGCAGGGGACTTGAAAAATGAGCAACGCCTTCGCCAGGAATCGAGCCACGGACCTCTGGAATACGTGCTCAGCATGCTGGCCACCACTACACTACGAAGGCGGGAAAAATGCCTTAAATTTTAATCGGAAAATTTTCGGGTATCATATTTCAACGAAAACATCCATTTGACCACTCTCGAATCCCTTTAAACGATATTTTATTTGCGTGATATCTGTACATAAGGACAGAGTAAAGGAATATTTTTCCAAAACGAATTGTAAAATGGATTCAGAAAGGACTTTTTCGTGACGTCTGTACGTACGTACGTACGTATGTAACTCGCATAACTCAACGATTAGCCCTAGAACAGTGACATTTTGTATATGGGACTACTACAACACTTAGTTGTGCACCTCCCTTTTTTGCTGCAATCGGCTGCACTAAATGTATCTACTCTCTTATCCGGCTTGGTGAGCTCTGATTTTTATCCTTATATGTTTTTTGCTTTAAAAAGGGTTTAATTTTATTGTTTTACGTTTTGGTTAAGGCTTTTATGCCATTAGTTAATCTGCATGCAATAGTTGTAGAATTAGCTGAAATAAAAACGAAAAAAATCGGAAAAAATTTTTTAATCTCTAGCGCGCAAGACTGTGTATCGGAAATTTTGAAGACTTGCTTTTTAAAATTATTTTGTGATACTGCTGTTCAACTGAATTTTATGGTTTAAATGCGAAAGAACATGATATTTAATAAATAAAGAAATTATACACAAACCGTTAAAAAAAACGCCCCACTGGGCGTAATATAAAATCGAAAGATTTCAGATTTTTTTTTAATTTATTTTTTCAAAATCTTTAAATTCCCGCCCCCTCTTGAAAAAAGCATTGCATATGAAATGTATTAACGGCAAGTACACCAATGCGCATGCTCAAATTAATTTGTATATAAAGGAATTCTTTGTCGCTAAAAATGCATAAAAGCTTTCGATCGAGTGTGGCATGCTGGCTTACTTCATAAGCTATCTAACTTCCTTTTACCAAACAGCTTTATTAAGCTTATGCATTCTTATTTTAAACATCGTACTTTTCAAGTGCGCTGTGGTGAAGCAATCTCTTCAAAAAAAGTGATTTACAGTGGAGTAGCTCAAGGCAGTGTTTTAGGACCGAAGCTTTTTACAATATTCATAAATATGCCTCTACCTTTTCATTCTAATATACTCAAATATGCCGACGACACAGTCATCCTCACCAGTTCACGAAGTCCAAATAATGCTTTAGAGAAACTTCAGCTCCAAGTCAACATTATTAACAAATTTTGTCAAGACTGGAAAATCAAACTAAATACTGATAAATGCTGCGTAGTTCTCTTTCGCAGATACAGAAAAAATATCCCAGTGAATATAAATATCCGACTCAATAACCAAGATATTCCTGTTGCCAACTCCTATAAATATTTAGGTGTCTATATTGACAAAACCCTAAATTTCAAAGATCATATTCAATATGTTACAAATAAGGCTAACGCTGCTTTCATTGCTCTCTACTCATTAATTGGAAGAAACTCTAAGTTAAGCCTCCGTACCAAGAAAAATATCTACATCTCACTTATTCGACCAATAATCCTCTATGCAGTTCCAGCCTGGGCTACTGCCCGAAAAATAGACAGACAAAAATTAAATGTACTTCCAAAACAAAATCTTACGTAGCATAGTGAACGCACCCTGGTTCGTGCGAAATTCTCAAATTCACAAAGACCTGGATATCAATCCCAATTCACGACCAAATCCTAATTTCTGCACACAACTTCTTTGAAGATATGAGAAATTCTCCCTATGAAGCTATTAAATCGCTTACAGACTATGACCCTACTATTGAGAACGTAGTGAAAAGACCTCGAACGATCCACCACAATTCTAAGTGGTGGTAGTGTATATAATGTATATAAAAAAAAAAATTACTATCCTTTTGCAGTTACTATTCAAGAAAGATGAACTTTGCAAAATTAGGACTTTATTTTTCATCGATGAATTCTTCGTTTTACTACTTATTTAACCACGATGTTTACTTTTTATTTTTAATATTTCGCATCGTGTGTTTTAAAATCAAAGTTCGTGGTAACACCAAGTGCTTACTCTCACTCATTAGCCCTAGTGAGCTACATGAGCTCATTTTCACCTTTTACAGTTTCCTATTCATTTAATGATTATATCGCAAGTTTAGAAGATTTTCAAGTGTTTCAAAAGACATAAGACTCTTAAATTCACAAATAGATGTTGCTTTTACTATGTTCGAACTTTATTTATTGCCAAAAACTACAAAAACTTCATTTTTCGAACTCTGACTCCTCGACCAATCTAAATGCCGGACGCTGATCACGTGCTCTGCTCTTCTTGACTCACGCAGAAGCTTAGAATTTCATTTCGCTTCTCGCCACCATTTACGTATATAATCACCAAGGCTATGCCATGATATGCAACTTAGCAAAACTTATTTTATGAGTTCTCTCATTTATTGATCTCGCCTTCGGGCGCGGTGTATTTTAAATACACCTCTTAAATTTTTAACTTTATGGCCTATGGTAAAATGATAATATACTGGTAAGAGCTCCTAGTAGCTAAAGCCAGCAGTAAAGATATGATCCAAGATCCAAGATAAAAATGCATGAATGCATTTCAGTTCAGACCAACACCAAAGGTTGAAAGTCATTAGTTATTAAGATAAGTTTATTTATTTATTTAACTATTTTTTTTGACTGAAATTGGTCACTTGAGCCAAGAAGGAAATTCCACCAATCTAGAGACGTACTCACTGACGTCATCGTTGTCGTCTTCTTCGGAATCGTCAGGTCCCGGTAGCTGATTACCATTGCTGTCATGATTTCTTATTGGTTGCACCGAACTTAGTTCAAAAATGTTGTTCGAATGGACTAGAATCTGGAAAAAAATTAAGTATTTTAAAATGCGAAAATTCATAATATTATATTTGAGCATTTTTACATGTAAACCTCTAATCTCAAATATTGAATGCTTTTCATGCAAGTACCAGAATTTTAGATCTATGACATATAAGAATATATTAAACAATAATTAACAAGTAAAAATGTAATTGCAATGAATATTACATTATTTTCCAATAAAGAAGAAAAAAAGATAAAAAACTGAAATCAGAAAAGGTTTTCAGATTTTTAATAACGTCCAAAGGGGCTTTTTTAACGTTTTATATGTTGCCATTATTTACTAAATATCATGCTGTACGTACTCAAACCATAAAATTCAGGTCAACAGCAATAGCGCAAAATAATTTTAAAATGAGCACATCTTTAGAATTTCCGATACACAGTCTCCCGCGCTGGGGATAATTTTTTTTGGTGTCAGTCGCTTGAATCGTTTAGTTTGTTAATCAAAAATTCTTTGAAGTGTTACAAATATGCAATCGATAATAAAGCAAATTTCAAATTCAAATTAGGATTTCCGCATGTCCATATTCCATGGAAGGTTACGTTATTCAAATTTTGATGACTCTAGGTACCGTTGTTTTATCAGAATACGAGAAACATACATACATTCATGCAGATTATTCATTATTTAATTATTTTAAATATAATACAGAGCGATAATGTTTGGTGGCAACAATTTGAAAAGTGATTTGTCGTTTATATTTTTCAACGCAAAATTTCAAAACGAAATTAATAGTCCTTCAGGGCAAATTCCCCTTTTGGACTAATAATAATTTTATTACACATTAGGAATCTGTAGATTAGTTTTTGAAGATAATTAGTTTAGATTTTTGCGAAATGTGTACAGAAAACGAACAAACAAAAAGAGGCGCAATCCTATTTTTTAAATTACTCAACCTTAATTAAAATCTCATTAAACAAGTTTAACTTTTCTTTAAGTAACCATGTTGCAAAAAATTTGGCTCAGAATATTTAAGAAATTTGTTGCAAATATCAGTACCCTAACTTAACAATAAAGGAAGTTTTACTTTCTACAGTTCAAGCGAATAGCACCATTAAAAAAAGATGAAAATTTGGAGGGGGGGAAAAAAAACTTTTTTGATTTTTAGAGGTAATGAATGTATTTTCTCCATCCTTCCAGGATGCCTTCGTGATGTACTTGTAGCACACTCGGCGGGTATTCGAAAGGTCCGGGCGAGAGCACTGCACAAGTTTCATGTCTTTTATTTCAAAATAAACTTAATGCAGTGCAGCCCGAACTAAAAGTGCAACCCGAACTAAAAGATGGTGGACAGTAGTTCGTCTCTACCAGGATTCGGCGATTGAGTATACTGTTAACTGCCATAGTATATTGTTAACGTGAATATACTGCCATAGTATACTGTTAACGTGTCTTTAGAACTGCCTTGTGTAATACTAGCAAATAACTTGTGTTTTGATTCTTTGTCAACTATAGTCATCAATTGCTTCAAATCCACGAACCAGTAGAACGCAATGATATATGTTGCCCTAAGTATATGCGGATTATATATATATTATATACGGATTATATATATATTATATACGGATTATATATATATTATATACGGATATATATATATCTTACCAAAGATTATCAGCTTCAGCTATTCTTGAACATTATAATCTACATAATTTGATAACATAGAAATAAACGTGCTTGATATTGTTCCAAACACCAAACTTCGACTGTTTAAAGAATCGATTACATACTTCAAAAAAGTCACTTTATCCTTACGGACTGAATGCATATCTCAGTAATACCACCAATAGACAGCACGAGATCTCTATATATGGACAATTCAGATTTTTTAGCACTACTACTACTACCAGAGGAACTAGAGGAGGTGATACCAAGAAACAAAAAATTTTTTTCGTCACAAGATCTGAAATTAATTATTCACAATCTTAATTCCTACCTTGAACATAAAGAATTCGCAAAAAAAAATGCCATAAAACTTTTCATACCTTTAAGAATACTACCTTATGGAATCTGATAAAAACAGTAAATCAACCTTCTCAATGCTTCAAAATAGTCAAGGATCTGATTATAGACTTCTGCAATTTTAAACTAAAGAACAGTAATTTTTTTCACAAAAAACTTTTTTGTACTATTCAGTTCAAACACCCTTCTTACGATAAGTTAAAAATACCTAGCATTTTTAAAAAATTTCAGCACTTGCTTCCTGACCAACCACTCCAAATTAAACCCTGTTTTAAATTTGAAAAAACCTTAGGTCAACTAGTTATCAACCACCACGTTATATAAAGATAATAGCAAATGTAATTGCCAATTGACTGTCTACAAAAAAATATGTCGATCCTTTCCACCAACATATTATTACAGGAGATCTTAATATCATTGAAGATGTTGAATTACGTAACCCTTTTGCAAATTGGCACCAAATTTCGTCCTACTTTCGGTATTAATAGACACGTCTGCCTCAAACAATTCAATAATGATCTTGATAAATTTATTATTTTAGCTAGTAATAGATCCAATTTACCCACTACAACTTTTCTTGAATGGAAAGCTTGCACTTATTAAAGAATTTCAACGTTTGCTGTTCAAGGCACCTTGTTTCAACTCTTTACACAATAAAAAACGCCTGGAGGATCTAATTCAAAAATTGCAAATCACTTTATCATCACGAAGATTGACAAAGCAAGCAAACAATTTTAGTATTATTTTGACAACAATTCTACTACAACCTTCTGCATAAAGAGTTAAATAACACCTGCACTTACCAAAAAATCACTACCAGTGCTCAGATTCTTCTCAATAAATTTAAAGCACTCCATAAAGACTAAAAATTACAACCCAGAAATATAACAACAGTTTGCCAATCTCTATGCCTTACCTAAATTTCATAAGTCTCCAATAAAATTCAGGTTCATAGCGAATAGTACAAAAGTTATCTCAAAGAAATAGATTATCTCTTTGCACAAAAACTTCGTATGATACGTGACCTAATCAATAACTATGATTTTGAGGGTTTGCATTGCAAACTGGATGATCTCTAGTAACGAACTAGTTCTTAAAACTATGAATTCACTTAAAATAGACCATATCCAATGCTACGACTTTGAAAAACCTCTATACATCTCTACGCTCGAAGAAATTTTTACAAGTTTACTAGCTCTTCCAGATTTATTTCCGCAAATTTCTACCATTCTCAGCAACGAAAAATGGCAACTATTCCTTACCAGCGTGCTCTTCAATAATTTTATTCAATTTGACAATAGTACAAGTACAGGATCCCTATGGGCGGTAATTTTTCAAGCTCTGTCTGTGAATTATTCCTGTTTACAAAAGAATTGACCTATGTCCGTTCACTCAGTACAGAAGAACGTATCTTTTACCAACACATCTATAGATATATTGATGATGTCATTGCGTTTAATAACTACAACAAAATAGAAGTAGCTAATATCTACCCTGCATGCTTAAAACTAAATAAAAACAAATACAGAACAGCATAATGTAGTCCTACCTTGATTTACATATTATAGATTACAATTTTATTAAAGTTTACGACAAAAGAAGAGAATTTATTTTTCCACACTTAAATTAACTAACTGGAATTCAAATATTTCCAAAGAGAGTCATACTCAACACAATTTATTCACAGCTACTTAGAATAAAAAGAATCTTGCAATACTGCGAAACACTTACAAAAAGAAATACTATACTTCGTAACTATTTTGAAAAAGTAACCTAATTCCTCATAAAATAATTAAAAATACCCTAACAAAAGCTGGCATTAGCCTTACCTATTTTTAGATTTTTTGAATTAGATAATGATATTTTATGCCTAAAGACCAAGGACGGTTTAAGATGGATGACTAATTCAGAGAATCTAATGTAAAAATGTACAGTTAATTCTTGTTTATTCATTCTCTTTCCTCCAAAATTTTGGCACTTTAATCTTTTAAATACTATTGTGTAAATAGTTTTAAATTTTATATAATGGCCAATTTTACTGCTTTTATTAACAAATCGGGCTTTTCGTTTTTCATAGTAGCTTGATCGCCCGCTAGCTTGAAGAATTACGACTTTTTTTAACAAATGACTGTTTTTTCCTTTTACTCTTGCTTTTGTTGGCCAAGTTTTGTAGTTTTAGCTGAATTAGCCATTTTCACTTTCAGTCACAAATTTTTTTCTTCCAACTACATGTCAGACGCCATTTTTGTAATCTTTTCACGTTTTTTCCGAGTTTTCCGAACCCCTTCGATAATAGGAGAACGAGTTGCAGCTAACGGACAATCTCTTCGTATTGGCTGATGCCCACAGAACTTCGCTCCCCCCTACATACGTCACACTACTGAAGAACACAGGAAGGGAATTACAACCAACTTTTCAACTAGTTTTAAGAGGGAGAGCTCTGCATCGCCAACAGGTCAGTTTTTTTTTTCTTTTGTTACAACTTTTTCTTGGTCTTAGCAAGACCCACTTTGTTTGGTTATCATCTTAATTTTCTTTTATTTTAATTACAATTTCTAACATATAAAATTAAATTGTTAATCTTTAAGCTTGCAGGCCCAGCCCGTATGTTTTTGTATATTTAGGACTAATAGCTACCGCTATTTATTTTTGTTTTTTATTTTTATTTTTATTTTGATTTTTAGTCTAGATTTAAGATGTTTCGGTATAGTTTAACATATTTTAACATCTTAATGTGTCATTTTGTGCGGACGCGTCGGGAAATTGGAACAAAGAACTGAGACTATTAAAATTTTCCAAGACACTTTGTCTAAATTTAAAAAAATTTTGTAGCGCAAAAGTTTCAATTGTCTGTTTCGGCGAAACGCGTAATGGGGTTGGCTTGATTCGACGTTCAAACAAATTAAATTTCCCTTGAAAAGCCAGTTTGGAAGTCGAGTTAGGCTAATTTACCATTTTCCGCTTACTTTTTTTTATCTGATTCTGTTTTTTTAATATTTTACATGTTTAATGGT